AAATACCAAAATAATTTTAAATCACAGTTACAGTATAGTACAACCACATTTAAACACACTCACAACACTTCACAACAATACCAAACGCACTCTCATTCAATATTACTATAGTTTTAACTTTTTTATTTTGATTTTGATTTTTTATAAATTTTGTAATTTTATAATATATTAGTATGATTATAAAAAAAATAAAAGTAAAAATAGTTTTAAACCAACTAAATAAAATTTTCGCCTTTTTATTAATGTTAAAATTTATTTTAAATAAATGTTTAACTTTTAAATTTTAGTAGTTTGTAAAATTTATAAAAATTAAAATAAAATATTTAACATTACAATCATATTAAACAAAATAAGTAGTTTTATTAGTATCTCTTTGAATTATGGTTATTTTTTTTAACTTTTTATCTAAATTAAAATTTTAAAAATAATTTATATATTTACTAATACTACTCTTTAAAAATTAAAGACTTATGTAACAGAATAATTGATTAAAATAAATCAAAAGTAAATATTAAAATAGAAAAAATATATTAATTTATTAATAATAAAAAATAAAAATAATAAGTAATTTAAAATAAAAATTGATAACTATTTTTGTAAGAATGTAGTAAGTTTGGTGTTATACAATGTGACTTATTCTAAAATATAAGATAAACACAATTTTTTAATAAAAAATATTTCAGTAATTTCAGAATTGTGCACGCCAACCTGCAAAATATTTTTTTGAAAACAAAATGAAAAAACCTTATTTTGGTCAAACGACGCCGTCTGCTTTCCGGTTTCCGCTGATTTAAGTCAACAAAATGGAAATTTCTCTGAAGCTCAAAAAAAATCTTGTTACAATGTTAGCTACGCCTAGTCTCATATCCTGCAACTTCTCATACCCGCCTCTGAAATCCTCAAGACTCAGAATTTCACCAAAAGTCCGGAATTTTTACCATATTTCTTCAATACCCAATTGCAGAATTTCAAAATGTTTAGTATCTCTTAAACCCCAGAATGAGAAAGGAGGGATTCTTCAAATATGCAGGAGCAGCCTAAATACCCAGAAACCGGAGGAGAACCCAGATGTGGATAAGGGGTCCTCAGTCTTCGAGAGTAATGGGAAAGAAGGAAAGAACTGGACTACCTCAATCTTGCTTTTTGGGTTGTGGGGTGCTCTCATGTACTATGTTTTCAATCTTACTCCCAACCAGACGCCGGTATTGTTGAATCCCAACTCAACTTTATTTTCTTGTTTGTTTTATAATTGGTTAAATGGACATATGTATTAAGCAGTTTGATGTGAATTATAACTCTTTGCAGTCAAGGGACATGTACTTTTTGCAAAAGCTCCTGAATTTGAAGGGGGATGATGGCTATAGGATGAATGATGTTCTTGTATCTCTGTGGTATATTATGGGATTGTGGCCTTTGGTTTACAGCATGCTAATGCTTCCAACAGCCAGAAGGTACATTTCCAAATTTCTATTTGGTCTTTGTATTATATTATAAACTAGTGATCTTGATGTGATACTATTTGGTCTTTGTGTTAGATGTAGAACTATAGATGTTTTTTATGTAAATTGTGAATTTATTACCTAAAGATCAAAACAATTGCAAAGCAGCACTCACTCGAGGCTGCTACTCTGTACAAATCTACATTTGAAATTAATATCACAAGGTACCATCTGAATTACATAGAAGCATTAGTCCCTCTCAGTGAGAGGCTATATCATTGGGTAGGTTATCAGTCTTGCAAATCCAATAGCCCTGTCCCTGACATCCGCTTGATAGCATCTATAATTGCAGATTCTAACTTGTACACTCCTTGGTGGATTCTAGAGTTTCTTTCTAACCAAATGTGATAAACTAGAAAAGCCATGAGAGCAGAGTAGAGCAGAGTAGACCAAGGGAGGATAGCTGGAATGCGTAGCATGGCTGAAATAGTACCCCAGATTTGATTAGAGACTAGAATGGGGACTTGGAAGGAACATATGGTCCCTTGATTCACTTGCTGTATTGCACACAATGCTAGTATCACATATTGTGGGAGGCCACTTTTTCTGCCCAGATTTAGTGGTCAGTCTGTCTAGGGTAGTCAACCAAGATATAAAACAGTGTTTTGGTATATAGAGTTGGAGAACCATAGGAATTTAGACCAGTGCACCTTAGGCTGTTTCTGATGTAGAATAGAAAGCAAAGGTGAGGATAGAACTTAGAAACAGAAGCAAGGGTGAGAAGAGAATAACAGAATTAGGGTTGGGAAAATTATCTCAATTCATCAAAAAACTGATTGTAATGTCGTAGCAAGAATATTTATAGTGACAAACCCTAGGTCCAAAACTCTAGGTTCAAATTAAATACAAAAATAATAATAAAGTTTCGAAAATTATTAAAATTACTAAATAAGTCCAACTACTAAACTAATTCTTAAACATCCTACGAAAATAACATTGCTTAAAGGTCTTGCACTCTTTAGGCTGTGCACCATCATTCTCCCCTGGTTGAAAAGAAAAAGAACTCGACTCTAGAGAGGGAGAAGCCAAATATTCTTCAAGGAGAGCAGAAGCAAGAGCAAGAAGTTCCTGTTTATTCAACCAAGAATTATCTGAGGGTGGACATCCTTTCCATTGCACCAAATAGCGTTGGAAACCTCCATGTTTAGAGCCAACAAATTGATCATCCAAAACCTTGATAACCTCCTCATAGCAATGTGCAAGAGGAGGCTCTTTAGAAGTGGCTGTACCTGCAACGTTACTAGAAGACAAAGCAGGGGGTTCAAATGTACCTTTATAAGGTGACAAGTCTTTTACATTGAAAACTGGACTACTAGAATAATGATCAGGTAAATCAAGTAAATATGCATTAGATCCAAGTTTTTGCATAATGGGGTAAGGCCCAATGGCTCTAGCAAATAATTTTTTTGAAGCATTCTTTGGGACATGCTTAGAGTGAACCTGAACCATTACAAAATCATCAACATTAAAATCTTTAGCTTTACGATGCACATCAGCAGCTAATTTATAATCAGCAGTATCCATAGCAATTTTTCGTCTAATCTCAGCATGCAAGTCATGGAGGTGTTGAGCAAAATACTAGGCAGGTTCAGAAACATGAAAATTAGGTGGAAGAGGAACAAGGTCAATAGGGGTACAAGGTTTGTAGCCATACACAATTTCAAATGGACTCTTGCCAGTGGTACGGTGAACAGAATTGTTATATGCGAACTCAACGGTAGGTAGAACTAAGTCCCAATTACCTTGCTTCTGGATGTTTAGCATCAAATTCTTCTGAAAAAATGAACTCAACAGGTTGAACAGCTTGTAAGACAGAAAGGAACTCAAAATTTTCTTCCACAGTTTCCACTAAGCCATTTGGCTCTATTTCCGGAAGTTTCTTGAATTCCATTTTGTCAAGATCTCCTCTATTTTCCACCATGTCATTGACCTCTGAATATTGAAGCTCTTCAAGTAATTCATTTGGCTTGAATTCTTGTTCAGAACCCAACAAAAGAGAAGTCAAGTAACCCACCACATTATTTCCTTGAACTTTCACCATATCATGTTTTGTCACTAAGTTACTATCATCTTCCTTAGGTATGGGAATACCACAGCAAATGGTTGACTTTGGAATTTCTTCATCAGTAATATAATTATCTGCTACACCCTTTCTCAAATAAGGCTCAAGCTTAGTAGCACAGTTTGCTAGCACTTTTTCTGATAATTTTTGAGCAACAGGCGGAACAACTATATCATCTTTTTCCACACATAGAAGCAATAGAGATATTAGTTCCATAGGAATATCTTCCCTTTCTTGTAAAACAAGAGTCATGATACTTTCCATATAATCAAAGACAACTTGTGGGTGGTAATCCCGGATTGATAATAGAAAATGTTGGAACATTTCAATAATTAGCACATCACACTCAAGATCTAACATCCATAATGCTCATAATTGTTTTTCTATTATGATATGAGCTGTCACAATTGTCAAACAAATACTCAAATGATGAAATAATTAATTTAAATACCTTCTTCATTTTGTCATCATCATATGGAGCATTTGGAGCAGTAATTCTCATCATCTCACTAATGCAAGCTGCAACAGCAATTCTAACATGGGCATGTGAACGATGAAAAAGTTGTTCTGAAACCAAAGCCTGTTTTGATGGATACAGTGCCTTTTCTAAGTATAGTCATGGCTTTTGTTCCACTTTTGAAAGGAAAATCCTTAATTGTATTAGGATAGAGAGAAGTTCATCAATTGAGGAAGGAGGGTTCTTAAGGGAATATCCAACTTCCTTCAACCGTTCTATTATTAACAACTCCTTAAAAGAAGAGATGATGATTTCACTCTATTAAACTAGAAAATCAATTTCAAGCCACTGACCTATCAAAACAGACCTCAAAAAATGGATTCCGGATTTCAGCGCCGTGTGAATGGGTTCAGAAACACAAAAATTAGGTGGAAAAGGAACAAGGTCAATAGGGGTACGAGGTTTGTAGCCATACACAATTTCAAATGGACTCTTGCCAGCGGTATGGTGAACAGAATTGTTATATGCAAACTCAACAGTAGGTAGAACTAAGTCCCAATTACCTTGCTTCTCACCCAACGCAATGTAAAAAGTTCCCAAGACTATGGTTAACAACCTCGGTTTGGCCATAGCACTAGAGAGGAGAAGGGTAGTACCACACAATTTCAGTAATGTCTTCCAAAAGTAACTAACAAACTTAACATCTCTATCTAACACAATTGACTCAGGCAAACCATGTAACTTGACAACCACTCGGAACAACAATCTAGCAACATGAGATGCATTAGTAGTTTTGCTACATGAAAGAAAATGTGTCATTTTAGAGAACCTATCAACAACCACCAAAATGGAATCATGACCTCTAGTAGTTCTTGGTCACCCTAAGACAAAATCCATGCTTATCTCTTTCCAAGGTGCGTGAGGAATGGTAAAGGGGTGTACAGACCAGTATTTTGTTTTTTTGCCTTTGACACTTGACATGTACGGCATTGGGTGACAATCCTAGCCACATCCCTCTTTAAACTAGGCCAATAAAACCTATCCTCAACCAAGGCAATAGTTTTATCCCTTCCCAAATGGCCAGCCAAACCACCTGCATGTAGTTCCCAAACTAGAAAATCTCTTAAGTGGAGTTCATGGAATACAAAGTCTTTAAACAAGTATCCATCATGCACTAAAAAGTCTACATGATCCATCCTTACGAGTTCTACTCACAACCTCCCTATAAATTAGTCAAAAATCAAGACATGAAATGTACTCATCCTTTAACCTATCAAAGCCCACGACACTAGCATGTAATGCATGAACAGTATAGACTCACCTACTAAGACCATCAGCAACCTTATTTTCAGCCCCAAATGTATGTTTTAAAGAAAATGTTTACTCATTTAAGAATGCCACCCACCTAGCATGTCTAGCATTTAAGTATTTTTGAGCATACAGATATTTCACTACTTGGTGATCAGAATAAAGCACAAACTTAAAAGGCAACAAATAATACTGCCAATAATAAAGAGATTGAATAACAGCGTAAAGTTCTCATCATAGGTGGAAATGTTTTTGCCTAGCTTCAAATAATTTCTCACTAAAGAATGCAATGGGATGAACTTCTTGACTCAATACCCCACCCATGCATACGCCAGAAGCAGCACAAGTAACCTCAAAAGGTTTATAAAAATTAGGATGCCTAAGGACTGGACTTTTAGTCAATTTTTGCTAAAGTTCTACAAATGCTCTAGAGGCAATAGGGGTCCAATTAAACTCACATTTCCTATAACAGTCGATGATCACGGCCATAATAGTACTAAATCCTTTAATAAAGTGCTTATAAAAAGTAGCTAAACCATGAAAACTATGAGCATCAAAAATTGTAGTAGGTTCAGGCCACTCTCTAATAGCTCTTACCTTGTTAGGATCCACTGCTATACCTTGTGCTGATACTATAAAACCTAAGAAAAGAACATTGGATTGGAGGAGAGTGCATTTCTTAAGGTTAGTGTAAAGCTTTGTAGGCCTAAGTGCCAAAAATAATTGTCGTAAATGGTCTATGTGCTCCTCCTTAGACTTACTAAGAATTAAAATGTCATCAAAATAGACCACTAAGAGTTTCCCCAAAAAAAGTTGCAGCACATGGGTCATAGTCCGCATGAAAGTACTAGGAGCATTAGAGAGACCAAACAGCATGACAAGCCAGTCAAACAAACCATCTTGAATTTTAAAGGCGGTTTTCCACTCATCCCAGGTCTAATACAAATCTGGTGGTAGCCATTACATAGCTCTATTTTGGAAAACCAACTAGAACCAGCTAAGGTGTCTAACATAACCTCAAGACATGGGATAGAGAACCTATATTTGATGTTGGGTATGGTGGAAATCAAAGCTTGTGGTTTGTGGGATTTTGGTAGTTCTGATACCAAATTGATGTAGAATAGAAAGCAAATGTGAGGATAGAACTTAGAAACAGAGGCAAGGGTGAGAAGAGAATAATAGAGTTAGGGTTGGAAAAGTTATCTCAATTCCTCAAAAACTAATTGTAATGTCATAGTAAGAATATTTATAAGGGACAAACCCTAGGTCCAAATTAAATATGAATATAATAATAAAGTTTCTAAAATTATTAAAATTACTAAATAAGTCCAACTACTAAACTAATTCTTAAACTTCCTACAAAAATAATACTGCTTAAAGGACTTGCACCCTTTAGGCTGTGCGCCATCAGTTTCTCTCGTAGGCAATTCCACGCGTGTCCTGTTTTAAATATCCCAGAAGGAGATGGAGTTCATACTACTGCATCAGCTTAATCCTGGTTTGGATAGAGAGTATCACAGACTGATTAACATTTGCAAGAATTTAGGGGACCTTGCTGGAGGCCAACTCCAGAATTTTCCTTGTATGACCTGTGATAACTTGGCCTGCAAAGGAATAGCAGAATCCTGCATGATTTTAGATGCATAGGTGAGAAGTAATGGTCCTTTAGGGTACCAGTTATCATGCCACAGAAAAATACTTTCACCATTTCCCACCAAGTGTTTGATGGGTAGCCTAGCTCTTGGTCTTAGCTTTAAGATTTTTCACCGGCTCCAGGAAGCATCTCCTGGGATCTGCACAGACCAAAAGCTTCTGCCTCTTAACAAATAAGCCTTTGTGCAGGCCACTCAAACAGACCCTGCTCTTGGGAACAGTAACCATATAAACCTCAAAATACAAGCTTCATTCCACTGCTACATGGGTTTAATGCCTAACCCACCTTCCAGATTTGGTAGGCGGACATTTGCCAGTTAACCTTTGCTCCTCCAGCATCACTTGCTAAACCCTTCATAGGAAAGCATTGCAGACATTCTCAACAACCTTTAAAACCCTTTTTTGTATGAATAAAACAGAACACCAGATATTTATGGTACCTTGGATTACCAAGGTAATAAGCTAGAGTCCAGCAAGAACTATTGATGTTGCCTGTAAACTATCAATGAATGGCATGAAACTTTTCCATTCTGTACTTTTCTCTGAAAATGTTATGTAGTTAGAACTTAGAACTGAAGTATTCAGTATGCAGGGATTATCAAACCCTTTATCTTATACTCTATGGTAATTAGATTTAGAATTTATTTCTTGCAAGTTGCAACACAATACGAGTTTGGGATTGTTGTGCAGTGCCATAGCGGTTTCTATGTTGTGCTGTCATAAAAAATTATTTGTGTTTGATAGTTATTCTTTAAATGTGTTTTACATCTTTCTAATTATTAAATTATACAAAACAATAATTAAAATTAACGTAATTATAACAATTTAACATTTTAATAGTGCATGGCTGTGCAAAAAAGCACTGCAAGGTTACATGCATGTGATGGTGTAAGGATAAGGGGCTTCGTGAAATTACCATGTGAACCATCTCAAAATTCTGCTTTATTGAATTGAGGAACTTCATGCTTCTTATTTGGTCCACTGTGTATCTGCAGCTCAGAAAGTAAAATTCCTGTCTGGCCATTTGTCTCACTTTCATTCTTTGGTGGTGCATATGCCCTTCTACCTTATTTTGTTCTTTGGAGACCACCACCACCACCTGTTGAAGAAGATGAACTCAAAAGATGGCCTTTGAATTTTCTGGAATCAAAAATAACTGCTGGGGTATGTAGTTCTCTTCCATTCTCCCCATTCCAAAAGTCTGAACTCTGCAGTTTTTAGTCGTTTTGTTCTGTCTGAAAGATGCTGGTTAACTCCATTACAATCAGGTATCACTTGTTGCAGGCCTAGGTCTAATTATTTATGCAGCCTTAGCAAATGGTGATGACTGGAAAGAGTTTTACCAATACTTCAGAGAAAGCAAATTTGTAAGCCATCTCATTCTTTAAATATGCCTTATTGTTGACTTGAGGTAAGTTTATGTAGTATTGAACCGCTTTGTTGCAGATTCACATCACATGCCTTGATTTTACTCTGCTATCGACTTTTGCTCCTTTTTGGGTTTACAATGACATGACTGCTCGTAAATGGTAAGAAACTTTTGCAATTGCATGCTCTCATGTTTGATTTGCATGCTCTTTCTCATGTTTGATCAAGCTTCAAGACCTTGTCAGAAGAGTTCATGCAGCATGGCCTAGGAATAAATTTTTCTCTGCAGGTATGAAAAAGGTTATTCGCTTCTTCCCTTGTCGTTGGTGCCATTCTTGGGTCCTGCTTTATATCTTGTCCTCCGGCCATCACTATGGGAATTACCTGTTTCAGCCGGCTCGACATCCAAACCGAAGTAGAAGGGAGAAAGAAAAGTCGAAATTAATCAAAGAGGACTGCACAAATTGGAACCTTAACAATCAGCATCAAACATAACTTTCAGATTGCAATTAAGTTAATTATTCTCAGCCACAGACAAACTTCTGAGAAATTTTCTTCTGGTCAGAAACACTGAGATTGAGCGGCCAATCCTCCAGTTTTAAAGGAAAAAAAAAAAAAAAAAAAGGAACACAGAATACTGGATTGGGAAAACATTAGATTCTATATGCTTTACTCATACAATCTCTTGAGTTCATCTTTGAATTTGGCCTTGATCTGTTCTCTTTTAATCTTGAGGGCAGCAGTCACCAACCCTGACTCAGGTGTCCATGGATCTGGTATCAACATAATCTTTGCAGGAATTTCAAATTTGTCCAGTTTTGCATCCTTTGCTACCTGCATAGATAGAACACTTTCAAATTATACAAAGAATCCTCCTGTTCTTTTTTTCCGCTAAGGCTGCCTAATGCATGTTACGAAACTTGTCAGACCTTTCTAACATATATAAAAGGTTAAAATATCAATCTAAGCCCTCAACTTTCAAATTTGTAGTGAAATTGCCTTTAAATTGAAAAAAAAAAATTACCCTTAAACTTTAATTTTAAATACTAAAATAGTCTTTCTGTTAAGAGAAATGTCATATGACTCATTATCTTGTCACATAATAAGTTTTTTTTTTAATACTAATAATATGTAAAATCAAATAGTTATATTTTGTTATCATGATATATTTATATTTATACATTAGATTAATATATAATCAAAGTTAAAAAATCAAATTAGTATTTATAATTGAAGTTTGAGAACTAAGTTAATACTTATCTGCAAAGTTCAAGATTTAAGTTGGTATTGTCTTCAAAGTTTGAGGATTATTTTGCATCTAAAATTAAAGTTTAGGGACAATTTTGGTAGTTTTTAAAGTTGAAGAACCAAATTGGTTATTTAACCTATATGAAAAGCATCTTTCCTTTCAAAACATGAATGAAAACCCAAAAAGGCCTGTTAAGGACTGCAACTGTGGAACATCAAAATTTTAATTTCTTTTCTAAGTATTGGTTTCTTTCAACTGGGAAAACAAAAATGAGACAAGAATGACTAGAACAATTGTGTCCACGAGTGTCACAAATCACAGTCCAAAAAATCACAGTCCAAATGAAATCAACTAACCAATGCAATTTTTATGCATGCTTGCATACAATGATAATACCACCTTAACGCCATGATTAGTTAACTCTCTTCCATGTGCAAAAACAAATCTCCCCAGAATTCTTCAGCAATTTTAACCTCAAATAGTTTTTTAGAAAAAAATAAAAAATCAAGGCATCTTAGAAAGATAAACAAACCTTGGAAAGAGATTGTTGAACTTCAATAATAGTCTCAGCTCTACTACACAGCTCAGCAAAATCCTTGTACTTGATGCCAGCTTGTTGGGCCCACTTCTCAAGGTCCTGATGTGACGGGACAACCAGAGCTACACAGTAGCTGTGCAAAGGATCTGCATATACCATGATGTTGTCGACATAGTTACTTAACATCAGTGCTGCCTCAACCTGCAATGCATATGTTAAATAACAGAATGAGCATTCGATCAGTACTTACAAAGAAGGATTGGATAAAGCTCTATAAGCACCTTCCCAAGAGATATATATTCTCCATGTTGGAGTTTGACAATATCCTTTTTCCTATCAATAATTTCAAGGCATCCATCAGGGTGAAATTGTCCAATGTCACCAGTATAAAACCATCGCATGCCCCTGGAGTCGACCTGTTGGCATGCAAAAGATGATAAATGTCAAATATTAACAGGTTATACAATCAAATTGAAAATACATTCAAAACAATTTGTACATAACAATATAAAATAAAATGAACAGATGCTTTACCTTGTAAACCTCGTTAGTTTTTACAGGATTGTTAAGATAGCCATCAGTTACACTGAATCCCCCAACAACAATCTCTCCTCGAGGCATCGGTTTGTCAGATGTCATGTATCCACCTTCTTCCCAAGAAACAAGCTGAAATACCAAAATGAAGATACAAATTAAACAAAATTCAAAATTTTTACACTGCTCACTAGTATGTTACAAGCGTTAATAGAACATGTAAGTATATCATGTCTCTGTAGCCAACTTCAGAAGCTCTAATTGTCCAGGTTTCAATAGTTGTTGCTACTAATAAAAGCTATAGCTGAAATAAACCAACTTAATTGTTTTATATTGTCATTACCTTAATGTAGCAACAGGGAAGGGGTGGCCCAATTCGGCCCACACTTGTGTCATCTGCCTCAGAAAAAGCAGCTCCAGCAAATGTTTCTGTCAAACCATATCCTTGACCTATAGGAGCCCTAATAAAGAAAATTTCACGCAAAAATGAATTTAAGCTGAGCTAAGAAAAGCATGAGAAAAAATATTACATAAGAAATATACATGAACATTATAAATTAACGAGCAGTGAAGGATTAATCTAGGATGAAACTGAAGTTGGATTTTTTCCATAAGCTCAACTGTCTTGTCCTATCATACAAGTCTTCCCTGGAAAAACAATATCCAAGGAACTTAAATGTCACAACTCCATAATCACAGTAGTTCTTGGAGGGTACCTTCCATGAACATGATTCCAATAACTTAAAATCCAACCAAGTCTGCTTAATTCATACTACCTGTAGTTCATTTTACTTGTCACAACATGAATTTTTAGGTGATGCTTTTTTATAGTATATAAATGATAATTTGAAAATTTTTTTCCTAATATGCAATTTTTATTAAGTAATTTCATTTTATAAAAAAATTAAAATTATCGTTCATTTACTATAAAAAAACCTTCATTTAGAAATACATGTCATGACAAGTAAAATGGACAAAAGGTAGTAATCTGTCTGCAGCCAAGAATATGCTAGTATAGCAAAAAACAAACATAAAGCATAAACCGAAAAAGAAGAGACTTATTACCCCATGCAAATGTTGATGAAGCGTTGAGAATCCCCTGATAAAGGCGCTCCACCACAAAGCATGAACCGGATCTGTCCCCCAAGTACAGCCCGTACATTTTTGAAAACAATGGCATCCCACAGCATTCTCTCCAATCCCCAAGCACCAAACCAACTTCCTTCTATAGCAGCCATTCGGCGTTTATAGGCAAAGTTGAAAAGAGTCTTTGCTAATCCCCCTTTCTCCTCAACCTGAAGTGTATAGATCAATTAGTGAAGAAGAAGCTTATTTTTTATATTTTTATTCTTAAACTACATAAATCTAGCTATGCCAACTCCCACAAAACTTGCATATCTACTAATGCCTACTCCATAAAACTTGCATAACACAGCTAATCCAGCTTGCACCTTTTTCAGAACTCCATCTCTAACACGATCTAAAATAGCTGGAACTGATGTGAGAAGAGTGGGCTTTAACACTGAAGCATCTCCCTTGGTTCCTTTCTTGATTTTATTAGAAGTGTCTGTTAGAGTCGATGGTGAACCATAGCCAATTGCAGCCCCTGCAGCCAACATCACAGACTGGACACCAAAAAGTGTAACAGTGATCTCAACAATTGTTTTAGACAAGAAATCAGAAACGAACATACCTCAGCTGCCAGTTCAAAAACATGAGCTAGGGGCAAATATGCGAGATATACATCATTGGTTCCCAGTTTTGGGATCACCATCATAACGGCTGCAACAGTGGCTACGATGTTTCCATGAGTTATCATCACACCCTAAGTGGTATAGACTAGAACATGTCAGACAGGCAACACAGAAAACTTCGGAAATAAGGAATTAAGATCTAAACTACAAGTAGTTGCCAAGAAGCTTTCCAAGATAAAAAGCACAAATGCTCATCAAATTAACCACACATGGACATTAAATTAAATCTTGGAAGTCTAACTTGAGCTCAAAGTTTTATTGCCCTACTCATTTATCTAGAGAGTGTCAAAAGAAGAGAGCCCACCATTTTATTTCACCTAATACAATCAACAAAGTAGGTAATGCTTCAGCAGTTTATTGATACTACATGCCAATTAATAGATGTTACTGGCATTGTCTCAAGATGTACTAAGGTTGCAAATGTAACAAATCTGAGATAAGATTGAAGGAACTATTGTGAGGCTGTGGGAACAAACCTTAGGCAGACCTGTACTGCCACTGGTGTACATTATAACCGCAATTCCATTCTTGGATGGAAGACTAGGAGGAACTGGACTAACTTTCCCAAGTTTCTCAACTTCAGAAAAGGACGAAATCTTCCAGTTGCTGATACTCCCTGAGAAGCTAGAATCTTTTTCAGTTTCATCATCTTCAAAGTAAATGACATTCTTAATCGTCTCCAAGCTTGAGCTAATTGCAGTTAATTTTTTCAACAGCTTGGGATCACAGATCAATGTTGATACTTGGGTCTGACAAAAAAAAAAAAAAAAAAAATTAAAGCTCTGAGTAAGACAATACAATTTTTTACTTAGGAAGTGCAGAAAAGCTCTCAAAAACTATTTATAAGTTCAGTATCAGAAAATACACAAAAGGAGTACAACTTCCCACCTCATTAACTGAATGAATTAGGGCTTCCTCGCCTAGAGAAGCATATATAGTAACAACTGTGATATTCTGCCGAAAGCATCCCTGGAAGTTGAAAAGAAATCCATTTAATATGACTATTCATTTACAGTCATTAATAAAAAAATTCACTTAAAAAAAAGCAGCATAGCATTGTAATATGACTCCAATACCTGAAAGGCAATCTGCCACTCTGCTCGAGTTTCAGAGAAAATGGCAACACGAGTATCCACATTATGACCAAATTTAACCAGACCAGATGCAAAGTTGCAAGCACGATCGTAAACCTGTCCAAAAGTCTGCCACTCATAATCCCCCAGGTGTAGCTTCTCAAACTTTCTGCCATCGCTGACAGTGACAATCTCCTTACTAATAAGTGTCCGTGACCCAAGAAATCGATCTTGGGAATACTTTCTACAAGATTGCTCAAAAAGAGCAGCCACTGTTGTGGCTCCTTTCCACGGGACCTCAACCAACTCAGGCAGCCGTACATTACGAACAACATAACCAGCCTCACCATCCACTTTTACTGGAACACCTCTTTGTTTCCCCTTTCTCTTTCCCACAAATATGGTGGCAAGTAACACAGGTATAATCAGACCAACAATGGCAGCACCCACAATCCCATATGGTCCATAGCTTTTCCCAAGTGACAAATAATCAAGCAATGGTGAGTTACCAAAACTTTTCTCAGAATCCTCCATTGTGAATGTTTATGATGATAAAAACAGCATTCCTTTACAGAACAGACAAAATAACTACCTAAAATGCATAATAAAAAAAAAAAAAAAAGTGAGCAGCAGAAAAAATGCTTTACTTTCCCAGGTTTCAGAAAACATATATACTTCCATTAGAAAGGGATAATTAGTAATAATTATGCTGCAATTTTCGCTATGCTGGAATCATCCCTAACACCTAAAAGATTTTCTTTTTACGCAATTTCAGCCTAAAATTTATCGAATATCAATTATGATTACTGATTACGACTCGATCCTTCTGACTCTTACAGATTAATTCATGATTACAAGCACAAAAAGTATAAGAAGAAGAAGAAAATGGATTCAAACTCACCTGAAGGCGAGATCGATACAAATTCAGGAGATCAAGTAAGGAAAGATGAATGAAGAAGCAATCAAATTGTAAGAGAAACAAAGAAAATTGTGAGAATCAGAAAAGAAGACGATACCTCTGGAGGTGGCGAAGCTTCTACGTCAGAAAAACTGTAGTGGAAAGGAAAACGGGTGTTTAAATAAACAAAGGAATGGGATGACCTGATCTAGTGCGGGGGCAGTTACGGTATTAGAAGTAGAATCGATACGCTGCGCTGGGCAGTTCCGTAATAGCGGTGGAATCGATTCGCTGGGACTACAAGCCGTAG